TCCTTGATCCACGTGAAAGAACGGTGTCATCTCTTGCTCAGCCAAAATGGCTTTTGGACCGCAGTAAAGCTGCATGGCCAGCTCCAACATGAGCGGAGGGTAGTCAAGGTCAATGGCTTCCTCCTGCAACTTGATAAGGTTGATGGTGTCATAGAAGGTGGACATGTCCATAAGGACAGTGATGCCATGCTGCTGCCGGGCTTTTGTGACCTCTTGGCGCAAGAGCCTTTCCAGTGCCACATGGAGCACATTTGCCCCTGGTCTTGCCCTGTCATGGCTCATGGTGGTCGGCAGATTTCGTTGCCATTGATCTAACAGCGGCTTTCTCAGTCGACACCACAGTCTCCAAAGCGTCGAGGTCAAGGTGATAGGCCGCTCAAGCTTTTGGTTTTTGGGAAGCATGACTACCAGGTGCATTTGAAGCTGGGTTGGCAGTTCAGCTGTGCGTTCCATGTGTTGGATCAATTGCAACAGCGGTGTCAACGCCAAGGGTGGAATGGACTTGAGCATCTGGACTGAAACTGCATCCGGTCCACTGGCTCTTTCCGGGAGCGTTTTCAGTGTTCGGTGGAGTTGACCTTGTGTGATTGGCTCCAGGGTCAGTGCTTGTCGTTGGGCCATCTGCTTGATGTCAGGTCTGGTTGCCGGATCATTGTCCTGTCGAAGCTTCCATAGTCCTCCCCAATCGGCCAGTCGCTGGTTCATCCGTTGTGGCATGGGTGTCATTCTGTATGGTCTTTCCCAAGCCAGCTCACTGCTTTTCAAGCTTCTGAACAGGCCTCGCAGGCCTTTTTGATGCCCTTCTTGCAGCCATTGTCGATACTGCAGAGTGCTTTCTTCCTGAGCATGCTGTTGTGCTTCTTGTAGCTGATGGGCCATGGTCTGTAGAATCAGCTCGGCTGCATGGGGATCTCTGTAGCGAATCCAGTGATGACAGGTATCAAGGAATTGTCCCCAGGTGGGGGCTCCGATCCATTGGTTGGGCACTTGAGTGAGCCTTTGGAGGAAGCCTCGAACTGGGCCGGTCTGGACTTGATGTGGTTGTTGTAATGCCAGGGTGAAGACCACCTTGATCTGTTCCCAGAAGGCTGGCTTGCCTTTGCGCCACGTGTGACCCTTTGGCTGGAGCATCAAAGGCTTGGTGACAGCTTGCAGGTTATGCCCTCTGCCCTGGGCTGCCCATGGGTGTTCTTGTAGTAGATATTGTTCGGTTTTGGAAAGCCAGTCTGCCCAGGACTGTGCTGCTGAGTTTGGAGGAATGCCATACAGGTCGATGCAGCGTGCCTGAGATTGGTATGTGGTCCAAGGTCGGAAATCAATGTCAGGTACTGGAGGCATCGGAGGAAAGTATGCCATTTGTCTGTACTCCCTGGTGGCAGCTTCAATATCAAAGTCCAGTTGGAGCAAGGCATGTGGTCTCCATGGAACATCCCATTTGGATTGGAGTGTCGTGGTGCCCGCCATGGAGTTGTGCACGACGGCATAGTCAATGGTGTTCCCGGACAGCACACTGTGATCTGGTGCCAGTATCCCAAAATGGAACTTGGAGGGCAAGACCGTGCTGGCCAGGGCACTGGGTGGGTTCTGCCAATCCCCTATGAGCACAAAGGGATGTGTTGTTTGGGAAAGCAGCGTCAGCAGGTGAGCCAGGATGTCCGCGTTGGTTTCACTCTGAAACGTTTCCCCTGTTCGCAGGTAGAGCCCTACCACCAAAATGGTGGTTTCAGTGGCCTGCCATAAGAAGCTTTGATATCCACAGCCTTTGTGGGTGTAGGATTGGAATTGTGTCAATCCACATGCAGGATCTGCTACCACCAGGATGCCTCCATGTGTGCCAGTCCGCTCCTGATTGGGCTCAGCCGGAGTGCCAAACACGGTTCTGCCTCTAATGCTGAAATATTGACAGATCTCCCAATGCTTCTGTGGGTCCAGATGGGTCTCAACCAGAATGTAAATGCCGCTGTCCCTTGTCCAGTACCAGTCAATGACTTGCCTGCCAAGATTTGTGACATTGGCATAGTGCAAAGAATTGTGATCTTGTGTCAATCTGGCCTTCTTGATGGGGCTGGGATGTAGCGGTGGTTCGAAGTCTGGTTCTTCTGCTGGCGGTAGACCTTGTAGCACCTGTTGTGGTGTCTTGAAGCAGTCAATGTTGACAGCCCAGATTTGTGTGATCTGACTGGCTAATGCCGGAGTGAGGTGTGGCAAGTGGGTGGGAACCTTGCCGTCATCTGCTAACCACATCAGATCTCTGTAGATCAAGATGGCGTAATAGTGACCCTCCTGATGCGATTGTCCTCGATGACATATCAGCACTGCCGGCACGAATTCAGTGGAGGTCCTGGAGAAGCCATCGAGAGACCTTGGCATAGTAAAGGTGCCGTAGGGGTTGAAGGGCTTCTGATGTTTTGTCATGACCCCCTCAATGCAGGTGTTCCTTGTGACATGGCACACCAAGATCTTCTTGTCATCCATCAAGTATTGTCCCATGCCCTGATTGGCCCAGTTGTTGGCAAGATCTTGAAAGGTGACTCCATCAGGCCAATCATCTGGAAATGGAATCAGGATGGGCTGCTGGACATGATCTGCCAGGTAGCCACCTTCACGAATTTCAGCAAATCGGTAGTGGAAAGCTCGACTTTGGGAGAGCAACCACAAAGAGTTCACAAAGTGGCTTGCATCACCTTGTACATTCAAGTCATGCTGCTTCCAGAGGTCCTTCAACCCTGGCAAAGCTTGGAGGTCTACAGGCTCGGCCATATCAATCGACTCCTGTACTGCCTCTTGTAAGGTGCCCCACGGTTGTGTGCTTGTCTCCTGCAAAAGAGCGCACACCCATGTGAAGGCTCTCCATGGGGCATTTGCAAAGCATCGCAAGCTCGGATTGCCAACCACCATAGTGAGGTTTTGGAGGATGCAATCTGTAGATGTGGCATAGTTTTGCATGCCTGCAGTCGTTGGAGTGGAAGTGGATGTAGTCAAAGAACTCGTCGGGGCCCCTCCCAAAATGGAAAGGTAAGTCAGACCATCAGGCGTCTGGCTAGCCGTTGTGCTCTCAGCCGGTAATTGTTGCCTGTGGTCATCAAAACTGTGTATTGTGCTCTTGTCTACCTGTGGTTGAATGTTCCCTTTCAAAGGTAGGAAAGAGCTCCCTTGTGTACTGGTCAGCTGGTTGCTGCGCAATGTCCCCTGCACACAAAGTAGCTGAAAACCCACAATGCTGATCTGAGCCTGTGTCAGCGCGGCAAACCAGTTGTGGTGGATGCACTGCCGTCAATCGATCAGCATCATCAAAACTGTTCTCTTCACTTGAAATCGTCAAAATCGGACTTTCATGGCCTTCACATGACTCCATGTCATCTTCCGGAACTGGGAAAGTCCATCCCTGATACATGAGTGAGCTCATGTTACCCACACTGTCCAGTCTTCCCCAGGGCAGGTGTCTCAGTTTTCCGCCGCTTGGTGGGGTCCTCTTGATCTTGGTTAGGTCGTTTCAAGAGGCCATGCAGCTGAGTCTTCTGCTCGTCTGTCAACGAAATGCCCAGGCTATGGACAAAGGATTCAACAGCCATGGGAATCTGTTCAGCTTCTCCATGGGCCGCCGGCAGCTCAGAAGGTGTTGGTGTCTGATTGACTGCCTTCATGTAGTCATCAGAGAGGCTTTTGAGGGATTGCTGGCCTTCAGTGAGCTTTGTTTGAAGTTCCTGCATGTCCGTCAGAAGGGCTGCATACTGTGCCTTGACATTGTCAATCTTGGCCTGGAGCTGGGTCTTCTTCATGGACAGGTTTTTGAGCTCTGTCACACGGCCTTTGAGTTTGGCCGCAATCTCTCTCTCTGTGCAAGGCTCAGGCGTGGTCAGTTTGTTGACCAGATCCTGCACTTGCTGGGGTAATGACTCCATGTGGGACTTGAGGACGTCCTTGAGTTCCGGCTCTTCTGGCTTTTGAGGTCCGATGCCAAGGGCCTGCAATCGAGTTTGCGTGTCCTCTGTCAGTGTAGTCCACGTGGTAGCCAAGAGGTCAGTGGCCTCCTGTTGCACCTTGGAGATCTTGAGCGGTCTGACTTTTGGAAGTCCTGGTGGAGCTTCTGGCCATTGGCGTGCTGCCTTGGTCAGCTTGCCCGTCGGTTTGCCATACCCTTTGCCTTTGCCTGTGCTCGTCAGTGGTGTCATCCACATGGTGCCACAGCTTCGGCACCTGGTCCCAGGGTACATCTTGTCCTGCCAGATCCAATTTGCACATGTAGACTTGGTGCAAACTTGGTATGCACGGCAACAGTTGGTGGACATGGTGCCTAGGGTCAGGATCTCAGGGAACAAGTCAGGGTGCAGGATGTAGTGTGAAGGTCAGGGCACCGATCACGATCAGGCCTGGAAGGTTCTTGAGCAAGTAGGGATTGCGGGCAAAGAGGTACTCGAACTTGTCCTGAGAGAGGAAGATGTTCAAGGCGAGCTCTGCCAGCCACCGAAGTTCTCAACAAGAGTGCCCAAGGTGAAGTCGAGGATAGCTAGCAAAGGAGTCCAGTGCCTGTGTCGAACTTGAAGAAGTCTATGGCGCTTTCTCCTGTGCCTGGCTTTGTATGGGACCAGGTTGAGACCTCAAATGGCTTGAGCCATGTATGTATGTATGTATGTATGTATGTATGTATGTATGTATGTATGTTGCATTATACATATAAATATAATACCCTAGAAGTCCAAAGACTATATTTTGACCGGCTGAAATGTTCAGGAAGTTCCCTTTCAGGTCCCTAAAGACCATTCCTTTTATAGTCTTGGACTCCCAGGGAATATATTGTTGTTTATCGAGTACATTCGAGTACCTACTTGTTTTTTTGATGTTTTCTTTACCTGTATGTGTCCGTGGGGAAGAGCCAGATTTGACCAATCAAACCCCGAGCTTTCAGCAGGGGGGCATAGAGCACAACCTGGATCGAGGTGAAACAAGTGTGTGGAATAGGACGAAGCGACCATTGAAAGCCATGCAGTCAAGGGGTTCACCGTGTGACCTAAGCAACCCAAAGCACAAGCCTCTCCAAAACCACGACCCAACTCACAAAAGCCTCGGAGAACTTCCAAGTCACTGAAGTAAAGGCCCGACCGATCGCTGATGCACCCACCACCTCAGGAGAGTGCGTCTCTCGCACCCAAGCGGACAAGGACCCCTGGAACAAGGGGGGTTCGATTCTTCCTGAAGGTTCGATGCCTCCAGTGGTTTGCATTTCAGAGCGATGCACACATCGAAGCCCCTGACCCTGGCCTTCAAAGATGATTTAATGTATTGGGAACGACCTGGTGTCGTAGTGTAAAACAATGGTTCTTTGGTAAAGACCATTAAAAAAATAATAAACCAGTATATGGTTGTTGGAATCCGGGAGTGATGCGAATCGAGCGATGCTCCGTACGCAAATGGAGGCGGGCGATGGCAACAGGAATTCAATTGTCAAATCCTCTCGGTTTCGGCCAAGCTTAGGAAGCAGGCAACATGCGGAGAAACGACCACTGCAAAAACAGCAGCACAGACCATGTGTTTGTTCAAAAATATTGTGGAATTCGTTTATTGGAGATTGGTGGCAGGGCAGCTGACAGCCCCCCACTGGCAGCCCTGTTGGTGGCCAGGGCACACGGCGCTCACCGTGGCCAGAAACATCAAGCACGCAAAGGTGAGTTGTAATTCCTTAGCCAAGCACAGTGATCTGGGAAGGGGCGGGGGTCAGGGTCGGGGCAGGATGGCATGGCACACCCCGACGCCCTTGCTATGGCCTGCGCTGGTGTCTCCGAAAGCTGGTGCCTGAAAGGGTTTTCTCGATGACTTACCTCGACCATCCGACACCCACTCGAGTTTGATCTGACCTGATCAGTTTACAACAGAGGCCGTGGGTCCCGGTTGATGCGCCCAGCCTGCTGGAGCTGACGCTGGAGACTCGGTTGAAACATCTTGACTGGAAATTTGTAAGCCTTGTGTTTCATCCCCCCTAAGGTTGATTCATCAACCCTCCACATCTGAGATGGGTTTTTCTTTATCAACCGAATCAACATTAGCCCTAGGGCTCAATACCAGATCCTCAGGTTTGTGGTCGGCACAAACCCCCCTGGCACCCACCCCGCTATCCTACCCCAACCAAAACAAGGTAGGCCAGGAGCCAAACGGTAGACACTTTAGAACACAGAGGCCACATCGAAAAAGCATCTTCAGCACGCCCAAGGCTCTTTCAGCACAGCTCGTGGCAGCAAAAGGCATCGATGGACCTGTCCACGAAGCAAAGCTTCCCACGAAGCTCTGAGGTCGCCCCTATAGTATGTTCAGGGACATCACTGGGACCCCTCTCAGATGTTCGACTGAGGGGCGTTTTAGGTCATTACTTGAGAAGTTCTGATCTCCGACCTGGGGGAATCCACAGGCGAAGGGGTCGATGAGTCGATGGTCCATGCCATCCGGTCCCCCAAGTGGTCGACGACACCTCCATCGCAAAACGCAAGGCACCCAAGGCTGCCCTCGAGATGGAGGGATCCTTATCAACTGTAGTTTGTTCAATACTTACACTCTTGGAGAGCTCGAGAGCGCCACTGGCGCTCTTCGCAAAGCGGTGTCGCTGCAGGAAGTGTCTGTGTATCACCCCACCCCACCAAATTGGTCTTTAGATATTGAAGTGAGTGCATCAATTAAGGGCGTACGTCTCCGCACACCTTCGCTTCGCTCACCTGTTCCAGGCGTCAACGAATGAAGATGGTCCTCTCTCAGCCGTCGTCGATGTGGGTCCAATCACTGTCACTATACCGCAGTTTCATGTCGTGGAGAAGACCGTCAAAATGGCATCTCGGCCTCCATTTAGGACCTGATGTTCAGTTATATAGGTCCAATATAATAGGTTCAAATAGTAACATAAAGGAAAAAGAAAACAAGCGAAAAAATAAGACACCCGGAAAATAATATAGAACTCTAGAGCATTATTCACATACTCTTAAATGATTCCTATGCCTCCACCAGCCACTGCACTCGTCTTCACACCTTTCCGCGCCCCAGTGGGCGGGCCAGGGTTCGGGGGCCTTGCACCCGGAAAAGCATTCGGGTGCCTCGTCTCCACCCAAAAGCCAAACCGGTCCGTCCACCCCACAGTCGAAACTGCGCCTCATAGGCGGTGCTCACCAGCTGAATCCAAACGTTGATCTCGGCCAAGCGCCAAGTCCACCTGGAGGCCGGACCAAACCCGTCGACTCGTCGACTCCCACCCTCCCCCACCTTCGTGGACCTTCAATCCGTCAGCGTTCGGCGCGCCAGAGCGGTCACCGAACGCGGTTCCAACGGAACAGAGGCCACTCCTCTACGTACTCAGGAACGGGTCGTTGGCATTTGGGGAGAACGCCATGCTCTAAGGTTCGGCACCAATTGGGCTATAGGCTTGTTCGGCAGTTCAGATCCACTCCCGATTCGAGCCAAGTCAGGGTGTACACCTAAATACATAGAGAGCCTCCTCTTCCAAGCGCTTGTCTTTCACCAGACGGGAAGATTTGAAAACCGGTTCAAGAAGATAAGTAATGCTTCAAGGAGCAGGAATGAGCAGGAAGGGAGAGAACGAAAACCAACTAGTTATCTCGACTCTCGACGAATAAAGACCTAAGCATCATCAGGCGTGGGGAATTGAAATATATTCAACAGTCTACATGACTTTTCTCCTGGATTGCATCACACTTGTGATTCTCGCCGTGTGGTTGAAAAGCAAGACTCGACCCATGAGTCATGAAAAAAAGGGGGCCTCCAGGTCTGTCCGAACCGGGGAAAGCCGCCGCTCAAGGCGCCGAAGGACTGGGTGTCCTCCCGTTTTCCTGAGGTTCCCCGGCTGCCGGGCAGTGAGGTGCCGTGGAAACGGCAAGCACGAGGGGCAACTGAGCGGAACACGGGGCATGCAGAGACGAAGGGTAATAATGGCCTCCAACCTAAGAGCGATGGCCTCCAACCTAAGAGCGATGGTCTCCAACCTAAGAGCGATGGTCTCCGACCTAAGAGAGATGGTTGTTTTTGGTCATTTTTGAGAAGTGCCACTGCCCACTATGCCCATTGCCCATTTTGAAAGAACCTGTTAATATATCTGTTATCGGGAAAAAATCACTCCGGGATGTGACAATTGACCGACAGCACAAAGTACCATATCCAAGAAATGTTTACTATGTGAGTAAGTGTTTTACAATGTTTTACATTTCTTAACATGTTCTTCTTTGTTTTGTTTTTGGGTTCGATGGCTTTCTGAAGCAAGGTTCGGCTTGCCCGCGGGCTGCCTGCTAACAGAAAATCTAGAGGTTGAGATGGAGCTCGGTTGGTTTTGACCTGTTGCATGGAAAATCACGGAAACCTGTCAAAGTGTGCCACTGGTGCCCATCAAGCGGGTGTCCACGGCTCTCAAACGGGAGACGTCCGGAGACTACCTCGTTTGAGTCGATGTCCCGACCCCAAAAGGTCGATAGACCTGGGATGTCTCCCATGTCGCAGCTACACACCGGATGGGCTTCGTCCCAAGCAACATGCCGCGACCCCTCCTGCAACATGCAACACACGTGACATGTCTTGAGGCGACATGTCTCCCCATGCAAAGTGAAAAACACTGGTCAAAACATTGAGATTGGTCGAACTGAACTAGCACTGGCACTGTTCCAAGGACTCATGATCAAACCCGACATGGAGAGGAAAAAAACCTCGTAAAAGGCGGGAGTGAAATAGAATGAAGAGTCTACACGACGTACTGTTCTCTGGTGTTATTCTTTTTGGCATCTCACAGTGGTGTCCCTGCATAGCCGGCCTCGGAATCGGTGGTCCGGAAAAAAGAAATAACGCCCGCGGGAGGACGAAATAGCCCGCTTACGAATAGCAAATCCATATCCGAGACACGACCTGTCTGAGACTGCTCATATTTATATATATAATAGATATATATATATATACATGTGTGTGTATATAATTGTTGGGATTGTTGGGATTATTTTGGGGTAGGCTGAATGTAGGTAAGTATGCCCATCCCCACTCGTCGTGTCTGGGTATTGTACAAACGATCTCGTGGCCCAGCTGGGGAGTGTGAACTTGCAGATGCCTGCTGCATGGATAAACTTTTGGAGCAGAACATGTCCTGTTCGCTGCTACAAACAGACAAACCGTGATGATGGAAAGGTAGATGAGTTTCTCAGCAAACATATTGTCCCAAAGAAGATTGAGACCTGATCAACAAAGACAAAACTCCAACCAGCTGGAACAGGTTCTCATGAGCTGAATCTACTTTGGCTGTTCACCCCATGCTTGTCCTGGCCGTCCTGGATGGTCAAATGGATGGTACCCACCCTGTGGGGTGTTCGGATGTCATGGTCGGTCACCTGTATTTCACGGAAACCTCGGATATCCATCGGATAACAACTCCCTGTTGTAGAGAGCGTCATGGTGGGGTGGCAAGCGTCGCTGTTTGGTGTTCGCATGGTCTTCCACCATGCCATCCACGTCACCATGTGAATCTTCCAGGGATCCATCGGAGATCCATCCCAATTCCTGTCCAACGGATCCCCCACCCACGTCGATCCACGCATGGCGCGAAGAACGAAGAATCACCTCACGACGAACGATCGACATCACATCGACGTGTGGGATTGGATGAGAGCGATGGAAGGACCGAACTCCTACGCGCAGCATCCCTGGAAGATCAAGGTACTTCACCTGTTTGTTCGACCTGTTTCCATCTGTACCCGCTTGACCGAACGAGGTGTCCCGTCCCCGTCCCCCAAACAGGTGACTGGTTTTCGCCTCCCGAAGAGGTCTTCTCCACTCACCTCCCAGGAGTGCAAGTCCTCGGCAGAACGGCCGTTCTGGGAGACCAAGCGTGGTCAAGAGCAGTTCTTCCAAGGTCCGGGTATAGACTTGTATGCACCCCCCACCCTGTAGATTAAAACATCTTAAAACAGGGTTTCTAGTTGACTCGCTGTTGCAAACATCACTTGCGGAGATATGTTTTTTCTATGCTGTTCAACTGGAACACAAACTTTTTCCATGGGATCACTGTCAACCGCTAATCCCATCACTTGATGGACGCGGATGATGCGCAATGATTCATGCAACCCGGGATGCCCCCCCAGTCCATCACTTCTCGCTGTGTCGTGCTCCGTCCGTCCGTTCCTCGGACCGGTGCCGGTGCCGGTCCCCGGTTCATGCATGTCTCATCGCCATGACCCACAGCCGACCCGAAGGAAGCGGCAAGCGGCTTCGCTACGCATGGCGAGATCGTTGAAAGAGGTCGAAAGTACCATCAGAATCCCAACTCCCAATCTCATTGGTGCAGTGTCTGCTTGTCAAAGCGCTCGATTCCCAAAAGGGACGAGTGGGGAACCTTTAAAGGGTCCGGGTCTTTGGGCGGCACGCGCGCCGATACGATGCGTCCGCAGGATACGCCTTCCGCCTTCACTGATGAGTCACATGATGTCACATGAGTTCATCCACCTCACCACTTCGCACACCACCTCCGCACCACCGCGCCACCGCGCCACCTGCGTGGGCTGGTGCTGGGCTACCCTCGCGCTGTCGGGCACATCACCTTGCACCACACAAGGACATAGCCCCAGGCAGTCGGTCTGGCGCCTCCGGACGCGAGCCCGGGTGGGTCGAGACAAGGCGCAAGACGAGCAGGCCAAGTGCACGAGGTGGAGGAAAACTGAGGGCCCAACTGCACAGACCTTTCAAGTATAACCCCTCTCTTGGCAGGATTTGGAAGGTATAGGGAAAATCCGTCATCACCAATGCTCCGCCGCGATGGGGCGACCACGATCGAACACTCGAGGCTTCCATGAAACCTTTTCCGGTGGACCAAAATGGTTGTGGAAACATCGCGAAGGTGTTTTTGTCATGTGATCAATTCGCTTTGATTTGTATATGAGGTCACAGCCAGTAAGTCGAGTGCGTAGATCCTTCCAGATCCTTTCTGGAGTGCATATGAAATGGTATGAACCGGTTTCCAGAAGCGCATGGCACACTCTTGAAGCAGCACCTCTGCTGGGTTTCTGCTCTCCATTTGCGACATCAGACTACCACCACAGAGCAAAGGGCCTCTTCTGATCATCCTCAGCAAAGGCGCATCTCCTCAAAAATCCAGATGCCAGGTCTGCTCTCTGCTCAGGTGAGTAAGGGTGCTCAGTCTGCCCTAAGTAGTGACCCTGCTCTCAGTACTGAGGCACACTCACAAACATTGGGAAAATCTTCACGAATTGTGTGGGTTCTTTGCTTTTTGAACCCACACCCCTCCAGTCGTCCGAAACGAGCCCGAGAAACGCGCAGTGAACCGAGAAACGACTCTCTCGGTCGCTCCTGCAAAGGAGGCAGCTGACGGCCAAGGCCAGCATGGTGCTGGCGATGGCCAAGGAGAGCCGCAGTTTCCTCGGTCTTTGGCCACATGGTTCTTCTAAGTGGGGCGAGGAGACGGTGCACTGTCATTTGTATGTGTATGTATATACATGGAACACGATACTCGATACATTAAGAATGTGTATATATATATATATGCACACTGTATCATGCACATCACGTTGCAACCACTATGTTATCTATGTTTGTACTGATGCAAAGTATGTCTTTATGTTAAAAAGAACATAGATGGTATATTGTATATGAATATGCAAAAAGCTCAGTGTTATGTATATATATATATTTGTACTTTAAAGTATTTGATATGTGGAAAGGTTCTATATGCCTACAGTATATTGAACCGCATGATGCAAGACCTCCAAGAAAACGAATAGAATACACACAACGGATGGCTGCTCTACCCTTGATGTCGTCAGGGGTAAGCCTTGCTCACTGCCCTAGGGCGGAACCACTGCAACCCACAGGCCCAGCATTTGAATGGCTGTCCCCATTCGCCCTCGAAGGCTTGTCAGGCTTGTCACCAGCAATCAAGCCATGTCAAGAGAAGAACGCGCAAAGGAGAGCTTTTCGTAACATGCCACAATCATGAAGCAAGCCGGGGTTCGGCTCCAGGAGCAACATCATTACAAAGCTGCCCGACTGGTGACAACAACATCCCACCTCACAGCCAGCAGAGCGGAATGGGAGCAACAGAGCCACCAGTGCATACGTAGTGGAGCTGCCAGTTCAGAGTCGGCGGAGATGGACACAATGCTCGCTACAGGCTATGTGTAATGTTGGACCTTGCCTGGTAAGTCATGGAGCCGCCCACATCTCATTCCGCCAGAGCCGTACGATAGGTCAACGGCTGGAGCTGGTTACGCTGTGGGGCCTGACGAATTACGGCTTTCCTATGTTTTTCATGTCCAAATCCACTTTGAAAGAGGCTCAAGGAAGTCCATTGAGGCGCAATCCCCGAAGAAATATCGCGTACCAGTTCACTATAGGTCGTCGCAAAAGTTGAGCAGCAGAATAGCTGAGATTGTTTTCTAGAAATCCGCACGAAGTGGTCATCGAAATGCTCAAGGCCTGTCCAACAACAAACCGCAAGGACCCCAAATAAGGAGTTCGCAGAGTACACCGATGCGAAACCCACGCTGTTAACAACCTAACCTACGGCTCGAGAACAGTTGTGAGTTTTTGAGTTGAGATCCAGGCTTGCACTGTTTCCCCTTCAGCTGTGCACAACACGGCACTTTATAGGCCCAGGTAGGGCTTTGTCGCGAAAGGCCTTCCGAAGTCTCACAGCGGGTAGTCGTAGCCACTTTTGAACCGTAGACGGGTGAGGGTAGGTGGGATGTGGGTCACCAACTTCCTGTGAGCCTGCGGAAATCTGCACAGCATGGCTTGCTCCCTTGTGGCTTTGGTGATTCTGGAGAGACATCTCATGAAAGGATGCCAAAAGGACAAGACATAATATATCAAATAATGTGTATATATATATATATATATGATCATTAGTCAATCACATTCAATCATTATTGAATCATTATGATCAGATCAAACACAGAGATGTTGTGCTGGAATGGCAGTGCACCAGAGCTCTTTTTGACCCGATCTGTTTCTCTTCCGAAAGGTCTTGGTGATTGCACGGTTTCACCGTCATCGTTCGGTCTGTCTGTCGCTTCGGCGATGGGTGTTCAATCATGTTTGAACGCAACTAATGTTGACCTATGATTAATAAGGGGACCTGGAATAAAGTTAGCACTATGTTCTATTTATCTGTTTATACTAATTCACCTCCGTGTTCATATTTGTTTTAGTAAGGGGACATTTCATTTTATTACATAATTCTTTCTTGGAACCTGGGATGAACTTTATTCAGGGCTTCCTAAGAAATTCAAAATTTGACCGTACATTTATCAATCAGAGAGAGGTCAACATTACTGTAGAGAATGCAGTCACATCTGGCTCTGGGTCAAAACAGGGACACCGTTGACCAAAATGAACAGACCACCTGGGGAGGTCAGACGGGCCCCTGGTGGTCGAAAATCCGGGCTTTGACCCGCACCCATCTCAGAACCTGTGGTTCAGTCATGATGATTGGTTTAGAGTTCCGTCACCAGGGGCTTGGGGGCATTTGAGCCCACACGAAGAAACAAAGTCCATGAAGTGCTTCAAAATGTGACATTGCTTATTTCATCGGAGGCCTTGAAATGGATGTTACAACTCTGCAAGGCTCTCAGAACATTGGCCCAGTGTGGGTCTTGATCTATGGCTGGTGTAGCCGAGCCGTAGCTTCTATTCACTGGTACTAGTGGAAGTATTCGCAGAATCGGTGGTGCAGTGTTCAAAGAAACAGAAGCATCTTCAACTTTGGAGCCCTTACCCCACTGAAAAGGAAACATCGACCCTGAGTACACCACTGGTGCAGCTAGAGGAAAACAGTCGGACGACCCGGGTGCCATTCGACCCAGGGTCCAGTTTTAGGGAGTCCCTCAAAAAGCCACCTCGCCGGACCGCTGGGAGCTCCCCTCTTCTGCTCTGCCATCTCAAAGCTGTGGTCGGTCGGATCAAACCTCAAGCCGCTCGGAGGGATCCATCGATCCGACGTCGCCGAGGAAAGCATGTGTTGGATCCCTGGGGAGACACCGCGCATGTGTCGGGATGCTCGATCTGGCGTGCCGCGTCCACGTGATCCAACGACGACAGACGTCCGTCGCTCCGCAACCCCAATGAGTTGTGTTGTGTAGAAGAGCTCACCAGACTCAAGGTGTGGACGAAGACCCGACTCCTCTGGGGGGGTCCCTCCAGGGACTTCATGATCAGCGAACAACTCCAGGCGGGTGAAAAACGGCTTCCGGGGCGGATGAACAAGAAACGGTGGCGGGTTCCACAGGGTCGGTACCTTTCAGGGCTTCGGAGGAGAACGTCTGAGTGGTGAAGCCTCGGGTCGAAATCGACGCGGGACCTGCGTGGGTCTGTCGACCAGCCATGTCACCAAGCACAAAGACCCGCCGGCGCTTCCGATCGGAAGAATGAACACCTACACTGCCCTGAAGGAATCATGGAGGTGCATGGCCTTGCCCCCTGGAAAAGGATGAAATCCGACTACCAAACAGGTGGTGCCGGGAAAAGACGTAACCATGATCATTTCAGGGAGAACACCCATCTTTCTGGATCAAGAAGAACACCCATCTACAAGAAAGAATTCCACCTACAACATCCTCTGCTCTCTACACATAATATAGGGTTAATTTGGGTATATAAATATATATTGATTTAGCTTCCAGGGGCTCAAGCCCATGGGATCCTAGCCAGGCTAGTGGGCTCCCTGGCGAACTTCGCGTCTGAAACCCGCACGGCTCCAGCGTCCGCTCCCTGAGTGGGCAAACAGAATCGTGGCAGATGCTGCTAAGGACTGCCTCGGCGGAACGGAAAAAAGTAAAAAACCAACGGGTGAGGTTTGCTGATTTTGTACATCATAGGTTAATCAACCTTTGATATGCTAGACCAGCTGTCCTTGTTTGACACCACTGGCGTTAGAAACCACATTGAGTTGGGCACTCCAAAGTGTTGGTGCAGCTCTACTGAGCCTTGTAGTAGTGGGTTACACACACGAACCTGAACGAAAGTGTGTTGAACACCACGATTTAAAGTTAATTACAGATGGAACTCCTACCCGCTTTCACCAAGACTTATTCCTTTGACAACCCAGAGTGATACCAAAGCTGCTAGTGCTAGTACTCTTCATGGGCATCTTGTCGACCCAAAGAACCTCACGCAGGACAAGACCAGGCATCCCCGAATCCCAAATAGAAATAACACCAGGGGTACTCTTCGAGTCTTTCGCATAGGAGTGGAAGTGTCCACCTCTTGGGGGATTTCATGGTCATCCTGAGATGGGACGGCTGACTGAAAAAGCCCTCCAGGTTGTACTCACTAAGCTGGGCATCTCGTCCCACGAACTCCATGTCACCAACGGGATCTCTAGAGGAAGACTCCAGGGCCCGTCGCCATCCACAGCCGATTCAGTTGGATTAAGGCAACATCTGCAGGAAACCCATCGATTGGAGGTCTACACCAGACCCACCATGTTGCACACCTGCAGGATGTTCCAAGGAATGGGCCGTCTTCCTTTAAAAAAACAAAAAAGAAACATTCATTGAATGATTCTTTTGAAGGGATGGAGTGGTCGGTCCAACAGCTGATGATGGTCCACGAGGTGACCCCTCCCTCCCTGGGGTCCCTCCTCTGGGGTCCCATCCTGGGTGGACCTGGGCTTCGGTCGGTTCACAGGAAGGACAGGTCGATGCTTGGCAATCTCGATGCATCGAGTGCGATGGGATGGATCCCTTAGGCCAATCTTGGGGAATTTGCTGTGGGAATGTCTCCCTGTGGGGCTTCCACTCCAAGAGTTTGGATCTCTTTCGTCCGTTGGAATCTGTAAGACAAGGCCCCTCTTGGACGCAACACCACGCGTCCAAAGGGGACACCTGAGCACCTGGACTGCCCGGGAGGAGTTTGGTCGTCCAACTGACTGGTGTCTCCACATCCCCTGCGTTTCTCCAGGAGAAGTGAGATGAGTTGACCATCCCCCCTTCGCCAGCCGACCATCCTCATTTTTGCCATAGAGGCACACACACACTTTCCCCTGCGTTTCGAAACTGCCTAGAGCGGCTGTCTAAAAAAGTGATCCCCCCAGTGAAGATACAAATGGTTTTATATATATATATATAATCATCGACATGAACGAGCAGCTGACCTCAGTTGTTTCAACTCACAACTACCGGAGTTCAAGAAAAGCAGGAAGGCTGGGAAGGCCTTCCGTCTCTGGAGGACATGTCGAACGCTGAGTTTCACACCGGTGTACAGTGGACCATCTTTGCCGGTGGACATCGGCGTTGTTGAAGTTGGGTTGGCCAGCGAAGCACACCAAGAAACACTTTGGCAGCAAAAAATGGAGTGATAATACTAATGAAAAATAAGTATGTTTGTTAAGAATGATATATATATATATACATATATATATATAGTAATTATCATACATATTCATCTTCATCTCATCATCATCGTTTGACGAAAGGTGTTGCTTTTCGCGGTTCGGGGGAAAAAAACACATTTGTTCAACCACAAGGCCGGAGAAAAAGATGTGAAAAAGGATCCTCCGCCTTGTGGTGTCAAAAGGCCTTGTTGTTCAATCGCAAGTGAGTCAACCACAAGGCTGGAAGTTGACTCCCATCTTTCGGAAAAGGCAGCCGCTGTCGTCTTGTGCTACACTCTGGCACACATCACGTCACCTGGATGTGTTCGTTCAGAACCGAAGACGAAAACCCTGTCCTCACACTCAAGAGGAGGGCTCAATGACCCGTCCCAATCGGACCCGTCTCGCGCCGGGTCCGATAGGGTCCAGAAGAAGGGTCCGGATTTGGGTCCAGAAGCAGGGTCCGGACGTTGGGTCTGTTGAAGTTTCTGGACGGTCATTGACAAATGCTGAAAACATGTGCTTTTTTGGTGAATTTTTGTGTCCAAATGGTACTACGGGTAGACTCACCTTCAGACCGGAATGGGATAGGCCCAAGATCGGTCGACCACCTGCCACCTTTGGCGTTCACAGCCCAATTTTCCAGCTCAAAGCACGATCCAGTAGCAGGGAGGTCTGCAAGAGCATGGATGCCTCAAAGAGAGCATGGATGGGACAAAGCAGTGTCGTGGGTCGCATGCGACAGTAACGAACGAGCGTGTCGCGTGTCGCGTGTCCTTCGGCCGTTCCGTTGGATCGTTCGGCGAGCGGAACGTTCCTCTGGGGTGGTTGGTCGATGAGTGGAACGGCCTTGATCTGAAAGGAATGAAACCGATCTGAAGTGATCTGACACCTGGAAGGAAGTGTGTAAAACAACAGCTTGACTGATACTACAAGAGCAAAAACATCCCTTAAAACATGTCCAAAGAAAGAAAAGATCTGAAAACAAGAAATTAGCCCAGCTGGAGACCCCAATAGCAAGATACAAACTGGGACAAAAAAAAAATCTCGAAACAGCTGCTGTTTTCAACACATCGATCATCTCTTCCTTGGACACCATCATCACATAACCGGGACACCATCACAAAATGACCAGGGCACAGGGCACCATCAAAACATGACCGAGACACCGTCACAACATGATTGGGACACCATCACAACATGACCGCGACACTATCACAACATGACCGGGACACCGTCACATGACCCAGACACCATCAAAACATAACCGGCACACCGCCAAAACATGACCAGGACACCATCACAACAGGACCGGGACACCATCAAAACATGACCGGGACACCGTCACAACATGAGTGAGACACCATCACAACATGACTGGGACACCGTCACAACATGACTGGGACACAATCACAACATGACGGGAAAACCATCACAAGATGACCAGGACACCATCACAACATGACCGGGACACCGTCACAACACGACCGGGACACCATCAAAACATGACCGGGACACCATCACAACATGACCGGGACACAATCACAACATGACCGGGACACCATCAAAACAGGACCGGGACACCATCACAACATGACTGGGACACAATCAAAACATGATCGGGACACCATCAAAACATGACCGGGACAC